TTCGTTCGGCTATCAACTTCCTCTGCTTTTTCCTCGTTTTTCCTGTCCTGTCTTTACTGCTAGTATCTTCCCCCCGCTCTAATTCCACTTAACTCGATGCCGCGCAATTCTCTCTTACAGCCTCCTCTCTCTCTTGCTCCCAAATGTACACCTCCTCATCTCAACTTCTCTTCGCTATAAATTTCTCTCTCTATCGGCGTCTCTCTACCTCGCTCCCCCTCCGTCTCTCTCCCCCCTCTCTCTCTCCCGCTCCACACAATTCTCTACTCTCTCCTCTCTCTCTCTCTCACTTATCTTTTGCCCTAAATTTCTCTCTCTATCCGTCTCTCTACCCCTTTCTCCCCCCTCTCTCTCTCTCTCTCTTACTTTCTCTGTCGCCCCACTCTCTCTCTCTCTTTCACTTTTTCTGTCTCTCTCTTTCTCTCTCTTACTTTCTTTGTCTCTCCCCCTCTCTTCTACTCCCTCCCTCTCCCTCTCTCTCCTCTCTTTCTCTCTCTCTCTCTCTCTCTCTCTCTCTCTCTCTCTCTCTCTCTCTTTCGCTCTCTGTCCCCTTTCTCTCTCTCTCGCTCTGCCAGACACAAACACAGTCATTCTATATCGTCCGTCGCCCACTCAATCTCAGTGATCGTGCGCGCGATGCAGCAGCGAATCGTACGTGACAGCTGTGATTGTGATACGAATTACTGATGATGTAGACTCAACGAAACGAAACTGAGACGATATGCGACAAGAATAGATGTGCTGTGAGAGCAGGGCTGCAAAGTAGTGGATGATAGAAGGGTATGGATGCTGGCTGCAAAAGTTGAGAAAGCTGCGGATGCTAGAGGATAGTGGTTGATAGAAGAATAGAAATATGCTAAAAGATAGTGTATGCATAGGGGGGGGGGGGTTTCTAGAAGATAGTAGAATACAGAAAGGTAGTGTTGCTACAATATTGTTGCTGATAGAAGGGTGGGGTTTCAAGAAGATAGTATGTGATAGAAGGATAGTGTTTCTACAATATAGTTGATGATAGAAAAATAGGAATGCGCCAATATAGTTAATGATAAAAGGATAGTGTTGCTACAATATAGTTAATGATAAAAGGAGTGTTGCTACAATATTGTTGATGATAAAAGGATAGTGTTGCTACAATATAGTTGATGATAAAAGGATAGTGTTGCTACAATATAATTGATGATAAAAGGATATAGTGTTGCTACAATATAGTTGATGATAAAAGGATAGTGTTGCTACAATATAGTTGATGATAAAAGGATAGTGTTGCTACAATATAGTTGATGATAAAAGAATATAGTGTTGCTACAATATAGTTGATGATAGAAGGATATAGTGTTGCTACAATATAGTTGATG